AGGCTACAATCTTATACAGTACAGTATGTCATTCTGTGGTATTGTTTGTTGTTTCTGATCTCAATAGTTAATGTTTTTTAATTATTGGTTGCAGGCGGAAGTGTTCCAGTCTTTGATGAGATAATTCTGTCGTTATCCAACATGAATCAAGTCCTTGATCTGGATGAAATATCAGGTTGTTATATGTATTTATTCTTAGTTGGGTATCTGTTTGATTGTTTTGCCTACTATCATATCTTGCACTGCATAGCTCTAGCACGAAAGGTCCTCAAAAATTAACCTTTTTAGCAGTAATCCTATGGACAGACAAACAAACTTATGCTCGAAATTTTGAAACAGTTGATAAAATGTCTTGATTATCCAATAAAATAATATTAGTGCTGGCAATGAATTTTGACRAGCCACATCATTTTTTGAAACTTAGGATACAAATATCTGAGCAAAACAAACCAAACAACGTACCCTACTTAGTTGAAACATTTTATTTTTCTTCCTAGGTATTTTAACATGTGAAGCAGGGTGCATACTTGAGAATCTTGATAATTTTTTAGAAGATAAAGGTTTTATGATGCCACTGGATCTGGGAGCCAAGGGCAGGTACATACATACTAACTTAAGTTGTTCGAAATCGTGTATCATAAGGAAAATTACTTTGAATTTTATGATTTTGTATTCTATTCTAAAGCTGTCATATTGGAGGGAATATTGCCACCAATGCTGGAGGACTCAGACTCTTGCGATATGGATCYCTACATGGTAGTGTACTTGGCCTGGAGGTGGTAAATAATTTGTTTGCATTGGAAAGAGTGTTATGTTGCTTATAGTTACAGATTATTGTGAAGCCTTCTGTGTCAGAGGTCTGTAGTTCTATAGCCATATGATTTTTCACACACTTCTTTCAATTTTAAATATTTTGTGAGATCTAAGAGAGTTTATATAAGAGATTAATATGGTGTTTATTTTTTACATATTTTGAACTCTAATATTTACTTTGTAGGTTTTGGCAGATGGAACAATTCTGGACTGCCTATCCAAAATGAGAAAGGACAATACAGGTCTGTGAAACTTTAGGAAGCATCCACACTTTCACCACTTTCCCTGCTACTCCCCCCTCCCCCCACAGCTTTTTTTGAATTCCTAGGGGGAGGGGGAGTGGCAGAGTKGAAAAAAATTAGGAGACATGAAACTTATATTCCAGAACTACACCACTGAATGCAGAGCATTTTTTAACCAACCCACCCGACTCCTATCCCACTGTAAATGTACTTGAAGGTTGACTTTTTCTTGACTCTTTATACAGGTTATGATCTAAAGCAGTTATTCATAGGTTCTGAAGGAACCCTTGGTGTGATTACTAAAGYAGCAATACTTGTCCCCAGTAGACCTAAGGTGATTTAGTGGCATGTATCCTTTATCATGAGAATAAACAGTGCTCAACACTTACTTTTATAGTTATTTATAGATACTAGGCAATTTTATAGATAAAAAAATAATAAATTCTWATTATCAAATTTATTTCTTCAGGCTATCAATGTTGCTTTCCTTGCTTGCAACAACTTTGAAAATGTTTTACAAACATTCATGACTGCAAAGAAAAAACTTGGAGAAATCTTATCAGGTGTGTCATTACAATCAAATTATTATTGGTAGTGAATAATAAGATCATGAATAGGGTCAGTGATTGGATTAGAAATGGTCCATTAAAAAGTGTGTGCATGTGCATGGGGGGGTGGGGGGTAGAAGGAGTATCAGAAAATTTTAAACTTCAAGGGCCTAAATTTTCACCAACCCAGTTCTGCTTAATGATCTTWTTATTTTATTTTTTCTTTAGCTTGTGAATTTTTGGATGACTACTCTATGACACTAGTTGAAARGAACTTAGGAATGCACAATCCCATTAGTAAGAGCCCATTCTATGTCTTGGTAGAAACCTCAGGATCGAATGGGGAACATGATGAAGAGGTAGGGAGGCTTTGGCTGTCTGTCTGTCTGTCTAATGAACTTTTGGTYGGTCCCTGTTGGTCAGTCTTTGCTGATGTTTTCTATTTTTAATTGTTYTAGAAATTGAATAAATTCTTAGAGGTGGCAATGTCAAGTGG